CGATGGGGCCTTCTGCCCTTCGTCCCCGCCCCTTCCTTCCCCGGGCTCCTTCTTCTTCTCTGTTTCCCCTCCTTTCCGAAGGCGCAATTTTAAAAAGCATCTCCGTTCACTTGCGATTTCCCGTGGAAGTTCAATCATAGATCATAATTGATTATTTTTGGCATAGGAATTGATTCAATGCACTTGACAGGGTGGTAGATTCTAAAGCGAGGAAGATTTTCGAAAACCTCTCTACTACCCTTGGTTCGAAAGTGGCAGCTCCAGACTTCATGGACGCTCCGGGCTCCTGTAACAAGGATTTCTACTCGTACACAAATCGTCTCAGGTACAGCTCCGTGAAAAAAAAACCTCGTCTTACAACCTAGTAAAGTCAAGAGCCCTCTAACCACAAAACTTGGACTTTCCTCCTTCAAGGCACTTGAACGCATTTGCAGAAAAGCAACAGAGCTTTTTGGAAACAGATGGATCTTATTGTAAATGCCCCCGGATACCTGCGAAGCAAAAGATCGTTAAAGCCACTTCAGTAAAGATGCCCCATCTTGTGACTCCGAAGAAGAAGGTAGATGGATATGCGTGGGACGATGAGTGCCCACATACAAGTCTCCGAAGTTGTGTGTCACATCCCTAGCTAACTGCAGTAGTTAATGGGAGTCTCGATAGCTTCTTTCTTCCTACCCAGAGTAAAGAGGGGAGACCAATTTGACTAAATTAGACAACTTGCATGCCTAAAGCGAGGTTGCAAAGAACAAAGGCTCCGTTCCAAACGTAGACCCACTGGTACCTTTTGTTTTGTTTTTTTTTTTTTTTTTTTTTTTTTTTTTTTGTTTTTTTTTTGTTTGGTGGTGTTTTTTTTTGGTTTTGTGGTTTTTTGTTTTTGTGTTGTTTTTTTTTGTATGTTTTTTTTTTTTTTTTTTTTTTCCCCCTCCCCCCCCCCCCCCCCCCCCCCCCCGCCCCCACCCCGCCCACCCCACCCCCTCCGCCACCCCCCCACCCCCCCCCCCGCCCCCCCCCCCGCACCCCCACCTCCCCCCCCACTCCCCCCCCCCAGCCCCCCCCCGTCCCCACTCCCCCCCCCCACCCCCACCCCCCCCCCCATTTTTGTGGTTTTTGGCGTCTTTTCTTGTTTTTTTGTGGTTGTTTTAGTTTTTTTGCGTCGCTTTTTTCTTGCCCCCCTCTCTCCTAGCCTATCCCCCCGTTACCCGTTGTTCTCCTACCCCCTCCTTCTCTTTCCCCCCCCACCCTCCTCTGCTGGCTCGGTACGAGGTTGGATTCACCTCCCAGCTCCTTTGCTGTAGCCAACTGACCCCCCTTGTTCTCTATGCTGCATCTGTTGCCTACATGTCCCTTTCCTTGCCATCGCCGCCGACCCCCAAAGTGGAGGTGTAACACCCTTTAGAGTCCACTTCATTTCAGAAACATTCAGTTGCCCATGGTGCAAAGGCATATACCAGACTTGCACCAGCCTATGAACACATGCTGTTCAAATGAGGATTGGGCACACATTCATCGCCCATGATCAATCACACCACCCCAGAGTCGCTTGGAAATGGTGTACTACCACTTTAACATTATTGCGTCAAAGCTGTGTGGCACCCCAAAATTTTTTGCCATTTCCGTTGTTATAAATAAATACCATCTCTGTCTCTGTTGTCTGCACCCAAAGTTTTTTGTATTATTTTTGTTGGCCATATAAGTCCCTTCCATAATCGTGATGGTTTTCTGTCAGACCATCATAATCTTCATGCTCCTGTATCTTTTGCTGGTCAACTCTTTCATACCTGCAGTGCTCTCCTTTGTAAATAACGTGGTCCTGTATGAATGGTTGTTGGTAAAATATTATAGAGCGTCGCTGGTGTCACACCCGCGTTTGGGGGTGGCCATACGGACCGTTCCGCTCCATAGCGCACTCCCAGTTCGGACATGCAGGTCTTTGCACGGCCTCTTGTATCCCTTCCAGTCCGACAAAAACTGGTGAGTGCAACGAGGGAGACTACACTTCTCTCCCCGGTTTCCGTTTTCCTTTTCAGTGTCGTACATGTGCGTATGATTCTCTTTGCGCATGCGGCAAAGGTCATCCAGTACGTCCAAGTCCTTCTATTGCAGACAGCCTGGGTACTCTTGCTATACCCAAAATGACACATTCCTTTTCTTTGCAAGGCGTGTTCACTTATGTTCACAACCTTTCACGTTTGTGGAAATTAGTCCACCTGAAAAGATAATTTCCCTAAAATATGTGGTTATGTGCTACAACTTTAATTTTGCACTGCAAAGTTATTTCTGATTTACACAACTCTTTTAATCAAGATTGAGACCCTATGTGCGGAAATATGTACCTTTCTGGATTCCAGGTCTTGCAAAAAGATAAAATTGCTCATTCACTAAGATCATGCCCATTGACATCAGTCCATCTTATAATATGTTCATTTAAGAAAATTGCATTGTAGACATAGCTATTGCCCCAAACATTTATGCAAAGCATTATGTGATCAGTGCCACACATGCGCATATGCAGTATGTGTGAGTGTGCTGTTTCATCAGACGCATAAAGCCCTACACCCTATATACATACACATTCTCATACTCATACAATAAAGAAAATAGCACACGGCTCACTAATTCATCAGCCAATACTTCTCGGTTAAAACAGGACCCGTCATTCTTGATTATCAAGCCAGTCTTTTCGTATTATTTCCAACGTTAGTGAAGGGGCAGTCCACATAAATCTTACCCCCAAGAACAGACTGATTAACAGGACATGGGTCTACAACCCAGAGTCCTGGAACTGGACACTCCAGACATTATTATCCAAAAAAGTGGATGCTCGTTACCGTTGACATAAAACGGAAACAACAACACTTGGACGCCTGCAGCTGTAGGGACCAGTAGGAGCAACAACAGACCAGGAACATAACCCCCTTCTCCATCTTTGCAAAGCCTTGTGTATGGTAATTCTGCCCTTATGAAGTCAAGCACAGCCTAGTTGAAACAAGTTGAACAAGAAAAATGACACTAAGATCATTTGACTAAAAATTGGTGGATAGCGAGAATGACGGATCACGTATTACATCTTAGGGAAACTATCAGTATTCCTAAACATAGTCGAGCACACAGAAGGACATAGACTTACACGTTCAGGGATGGTGACGCATAAGAACTGGGCTAATGTACTAAACCAACATGAAAACTATACGCATAATAAAAAATGTGATATACATGTCTTAATTGAGCGGGTTTACACGTAAATTTCCATGAAAGGTCCCATTCTTTATTATTATGTCTATTATTATAAGGCTATAAAAAAAATACCTCAAGGAAAACACCGGTGATTTTGTGTATAAGGAGGTATGGGGTGAAATACACCAATAAGCAATCGGTTAACTTGGCGCTAGGGCCAGGATTTGGGCTAGACTGATAGAGTAAGCCAGTCCAAGAGGGAAAGCCGGGTGTAGTCACAAGGGTGTTGGACACAAACATGTTACAAATTTTTACATTCTTCGGCAATATGGTGCAGGCAATCAATACAAATGACACATGAAGGAAGACCATTGATCAATAGTAGTTGCTAAAACGTTTGCACTTTAGCGCTTTTCATTGGGAAAGAACTTGTGATTTATGTAATAAAGTTATGTTGAGTCACTCAATTACACTTGCAGTAGAGAGATTGAGTTCTAATGAGCACAACTAACAGTTAGGTGAGAAAAAAACTACAGAAGCACTTCTTCACTGTAAGACACTAGACACTTAATTATACTTAACCATGGTGCAAGCAAGTTTTCATGTGTCTTAGTGGTCTACTAAGAGACCCGTCTCTAGTATCTGAGCTCTAGTTTGTAAAATTGTGTAATAACCTTTTTAAATTGTAAAAATGCTAACACTGTTGGAATCATAGCAACTTTCCCATTCTGATGGTATCCTTCCCTAACCATGAAACCATACCAGCTTAGGTCCCATAAGAAATGTATGCCATAAGTAAAGTATGTAGTGGCTGTATAAACAGTTTACACAACAGTGAACACAACTTTAGGGGCTCAGGTGAACAAATGGACTTGCTAAGCTGCTGGAAATACCAATTAGGACTACGACTATGATAAATGAAACACGTTTTTTGCGAGGGAACGCGAGCAGCAATTTCCCACATACACATTTGGAACAGTACGGGCCATGGCTGTGCCCATCAAAAAAAATCCCCCATTGAGACCACAAGGTAGGCTTCGCTCCTCTTGCCAATAGGCTGAAACCCAACCCTAAAGACATTAATGACCACATAACAGGTCAAGGTAAAAGCTCTCTGGGGACAGCTTCCTTTGCGGCTCTCAATTTGCCACTTGGTAATGTTGCAACACACCTCCCGCAGAGAGGGCTTATTGACATGGACTAAGAGCACCTTCGAGATTGAAAGGCCCCATTGGGTCAGAAGCGCCATGGCGCCAAGCACCTTGGATCTCTTCTCCACAGTGTGGATATGTGTTGTGCAGTTGGTATTCATTGACAATATTGGTGACCACGACGTGATCGCTAACCCGCCGACATGTCCGTGAGCGCCACAGAGTCCGATAGCGGACCAGCGGCAGTCAGCCCCCCAGTCTCCGTGGCAGAAGTGTGCCTCAAACTTCTCCCCTTCTGGCCCACGGACCCAGACCTTTGGTTCGCCCAAGTCAAGGCACAATTCAGCACTCGAGGAATCCCCGCGCAAAGGACCAAGTACGACTACGTCGTGGCGTCCCTCTCACCCGAATTTGCGGCCGAAGTCCGCGATTTGATTCTCAATGTCCCCGACCGGCCCTAGGACACGCTCAAAGCAGGTGCTTATCGAACGTAAGTGTCCACCACAGCAGAGATGTTTACAACGGCTGCTACACGCGACCGGGTTAGGACACCGAAAGCCGTCGCAACTTCTCAGACACATGCGCCAACTTATAGGGGACACTGTCACTGACGCTGACAGACCACTACTTAGGGAACGTTTCCTCCAGCGACTTCCGCCGACGGTGCGCATGTGTGATGAACTCCTCAGTCGGTGAGGGTGGGTGTGTCTGTGTTAGTTTAAGAACTATAGGTTATTGTGTGTAGCGTAGCTCATGTGTATGTGTTGTCGTGGTTATGTAGTGAGGGTCACCCCTTATGTTGAGTTGTGCAATCACCTTACCCACCTTACCGGTTGATTCTGTATGTAGAACTGGTCAGTCCAGTTTTAGGCTAGTTGTATATAAGGTAGCTGCGGCTGGGTGTTAGGGTGTTCTCTCTCTATGATCTAACTACTAGTATTATATGTGGTAACGATTGCGAGTTGGCCAGCGCGTGCCCGAGGCGGGTTCGTGACAGTTTGGTGGCAGCGGTGGGATCTGCCGTCGGAAGTCCATCGGCGGGACTCACGGTTCGGTTTTGCGAATGGCTACAAGATCGGGGACGAAGTACAAACCCACGATGGAGGGAGAGCAAGGCGAAGAGGGTGCCGGCGAACTGGCAGCGACGACGACAGGCGCCGCCCCGTTGGCCGACCTGGTGCGGAGGACCGTCAGCGGAGAGACGAGGAACTGACGGACGAGCGCAGACGGCGGGAGGCCGAGGCGACGCAACACGAGAGGGAGCGTAGACAACAGATTGAACTACTTACAAGACTGGTGGAGACCTCGGGGTCGAGAACGACGACGTCGAGCGATGGGAGGACCGAGAGTGGCGACGGTGAACGCAGCGGCGCTGGACGGAACAAAGTGGTACTCATGAAGTATGTCGAAGGCGACGACGTAGAGGCGTACCTGACGACGTTCGAGCGTATCTTGACCATGCATTGAGTAGACCGAACGCTGTGGGTAGTTCACTTGGCCCCGCAGTTGGCGGGCCGCGTGAAGCAAGCCTACGCTGCCTTACCGGCGTAGAGAGCCGGGGACTATACCGAAGTGAAGAAAGCTATTCTTCGACGATATGACATAAGCCCAGAGACTTATCGACAGAAGTTCCGAGCGACGAAGAAGAAGGACCACGAGGCCTACACCGAGCTCGCCGCACGCCTGCAGGACCTGGCCAAGAAGTGGCTCACTGGGTGTGACACTGCATCAGCTGTACTGGTAAAAGTAGTATTGGAGCAGTTCCTCGACACAGTCTCAGTGGAGTTGAGGGTCTGGCTCTGCGAGAGAAAGCCGACGACGGTGGCCGAGGCCAGCTCGATGGCGGACGACTACCGTGCGGCTCACCGTAGAAAACGCTTCGAAGGAGGCAAGATTGACTCCAATAGGTACATACCAAGTAAGGAGACCTCTGACCCCAAGCAGGACGGACCTAATAAGGAAACCCAGAAGGGTCACACTCAGGAGAAACGCCAGATAGGCCCGAACCAGAAGGGAGAACGCAGCCGAGACCTCACGGAACGGAGATGCTTCAACTGCCACGAACGCAGCCACTGGGCCCGAGAATGTCCTAGCGCCCTATACTGTGGGACCAGTGATTCACAGGGGGCAGGGGGACGGGATGCAGAGGGTTCAGGGGGCGGGGGTGACTCTGGGGTGGGACTTGGGGAGGTGAAAAGGGAGTCGGTTGGCGGTGGTGGTGGGTCTCATGGTAGTGTTAGTTGTGGGGACGGTAGCGGAGGTGATGGTGATGTCGTTGGGAGTGGTCAAGCGGGGGTTCTGTGGGGGCACATGGAGGTTCGGGAGACGGTGGGTACTGGTGGGGGGCGGTGTACGACTTCGGATCGATCGATCGACGGCACGCCCGTAAAGCGCATCGGCAAGGTCGAAGGAACGCTCGTTGATGATGTCGTGTTGGATACCGGCTGTGCCTGCACCATGGTGCATCGTGATCTGATACCGGAGGAGAAGGTGGTTCCCGGAGCTACCATCCAGCTCAGATGTGCACATGGAGACGTTGTCACCTACCCTCTCGCTGCAGTGACGCTGGAAATCGATGGACTTACTCTACCCGTCACGGTTGCTGTGGACGAAAGGTTACCCGTCTCCGTACTCCTCGGTACCGATGTGCCTGAATTTGGGAAGCTGATCAACCAATGTGTACTTCCCCAGGCCGAAGCGCTGGTAATGACTCGAGCACAAGTCAAAGCCCAAACTCAAGCCGAGGCGCAGGCTCAGCAGAAACAACACCAGAGCCAAGTCCCAGTCATGGAACCACTACCCCTCTCCACGTTCGATGACGACCTCTTCCTGACACCTCATGTGCGACAGTTACAGACACGTCGATAGAAACGAGAAGCACGTCATTACGGTCTCATAGACCCGACAAAACAGCAGCCGAGGGTGAACACGGGAGTGGGGGTCAACAAGAAGCAACTGCAGCTGTTGCAGGAGACGGATGAGACACTTCGCAGTGTCCGACACGTGGTGGATCAGCCGTCTCAACCCTTCGTCAAGAGGGACGGGTTACTGTTTCGCAAATGGGAGCACAGAGCAGCACGCGAGAGGGGTGAAACCGAGCCAGTGGTGCAGCTGATCCTTCCAAGAGACTGCCGACAGGGTGCATTGGAGCTTGCACACTTGCTGGGCACCTTGGAGGAAGAAGACGTATGCCCGACTCGCCCAACGATTCTACTGGCTATCCATGAATCGAGACGTCGTAGAGTTTTGCCGACGCTGTGAGGCCTGCCAGAAGTGTGGCCGCCGCAAGCCAGCACAGGTGCCTATGGTCCCCTTGCCAGTAGTAGACATCCCGTTCGGTAGGATGGCGATGGACTTGGTTGGCCCACTACCACGTAGCCGATCGGGAAATCGTTATGTGTTGGTTCTCTGCGACTATGCTACAAGGTACCCCGAGGCGATTCCACTACGACACATCGATGCAGAAATGATCGCTGAGGAGCTTGTCCAGATCTTCGCGAGAGTGTGGCTACCGCAGGAGATATTGACGGACCAAGGCTCCAACTTTCAGTCACGGCTGCTACAGGAGCTACACCGCCTCCTTCAGGTGCGAGCCATACGTACAAGCCCCTACCACCCACAGACAGACGGGCTGGTCGAACGATTCAATCAGACCCTGAAATCTATGCTGCGGGAATGTGCCAGGGAAGAGGGCAAGGACTGGGACAAGATGATACCTTTCCTCCTGCTTGCCTACCGGGAGGTACCCCAGGAGAGCACTGGATTCTCGCCCTTTGAATTACTTACGGGCGAGATGTCAGAGAACCACTAGATGTGCTGCGGGAGACGTGGGTTTCTAGCAAGAGGACCGGTCAAGACGTCCTCTCGTACGTTCTCGTAATGCGAGACAGGATGACAGCCATGAACGACCAGGTACAGGAGAACCTGAAGGCATGCTAGGAACCGCAGCTTCCACGTAGGAGATCAGGTGTTGGTGTTACTACCCTCATCAACCTCAAAGCTCAGTGCACAATGGCAGGGGCCGTATCAGGTGCTCCGGAGTGTGGGTGAGGTTAACTACCTCATCTACATGACAGACCACAAAAAGAAAAAGCGAGTGCTACACGTGAACATGCTGCAGAAGTGGCACCAGCCCCCAGTCTCTGTTCTGTTAGTACAGAATGCCCTGGAAGAGATGGACCACGAGGAGGTACCTGTCTGGAACGAGGCGGACAAAGGGCGTGTGAGAATGGGAAGCCAGCTGAACCTGGAGCAATCCCAGGAACTTGGGGAGTTGCTGGACGGCTTTAAAGACGTGTTTCAAGCACTGCCGGGGCATACGACGGTCACGGAACAGCGGATCATCACCGGAGACGCCCGGCCAGCGCGGCTGGCCCCGTACAGACTCCCTCATGCTCTCCGGGAACAGGTTCGGCAGGAGTTTAGAGGAAATGCTGGACCATGGTATCATAGAGCGGTCGACAAGTGATTGGGCATCCCCTCGTTCGAAAGAAAGATTCCTCTCTTCGACTATGTGTCGATTACCGACGGCTGAATAGCCACTCTAAAATGGGATGCCTATCCGATGCCACAAGTGGATGACCTTATAGACCAGGTATCCGGGGCACCATACATCACCACCATCGACCTTACAAAAGGCTACCGGCAAGTGCCGGTAGTACTAGAAAACCGGGAGAAGACGGCATTCACGACACCGTTTGGGCTTTTCCAGTTTACCCGCATGCCCTTTGGACTGAAAGGGGCGCCCGCCACCTTCCAGAGGATGGTGGACAAGATACTAAATGGCCTCAACAAGTTCGCAAGTGCATATATCGATGATGTCATTGTGTTTAGTACAACGTGGAGTGAACATCTTTAACATCTGACGATCGTCCTAAGCAAACTACAGGGGGCGGGCCTGACTGTAAAAAGAAAGAAATGGCAGTTTGGAATGGCTGAATGTGGCTACTTGGGTCATGTCATAGGGAGTGGCAAGATCAGCAGCGAAGATCCAGTCAGTCCAAAGCTTTGAACGGCCTACTACGAAGACTGGTGTCAGGTCGTTCCTTGGCCTCACGGGCTACTATCGTAAAATCATACCTGGCTACGCAACCATAGCAGCCTCACTGACAGATCTGACCTGCAGAGCTAGGCCCAATCAGGTAGCCTGGACCCCAGAGTGTGCCACCGTCTTTGACACACTGAAAACCTCCCTCTGTTCCTATCCTGTACTGAAGAACCCTGAGTGGGACAAGCCATTTGTCCTCCAGACAGATGCTTCTGGCCGCGGGGCGGGAGCAGTGTTAGGGGAGGATGATAGTGACCGACCTGTGGCATATTTTAGCCGAAAATTCCTACCTAGAGAGGAGAGGTACTCGACCATAGAAAAAGAATGCCTGGCCATAAAGTTGGGAGTACAAGCATTCCATGTGTACCTCATGGGCCGCCCGTTTGTTATCCAAACCGACCATAGGTCACTTGAGTGGCTGGATAGGATGAAAGGGACGAACGCGAGGCTCACCCGATGGAGCCTACTGCTGCAGAGTTACAAGTTCCGAATCGAATATCGCACCGGTCGCAAAAACGGCAATGCCAACGGACTAACAAGATAATGGGACGGCATCAACCACAGTTGATGCAGGAGAAGAGGGGAGGGATGTGCTGAACTCCTCAGTCGGTGAGAGTGGGCGTGTGTGTGTTAGCATAAGAACTATAGGTTATTGTGTGTAGCGTAGCTCATGTGTATGTGTTGTCGTGGTTATGTAGTGAGGGTCACCCCTTATGTTTAGTTGTGCAATCACCTTACCCACCTTACCGGTTGATTCTGTATGTAGAACTGGTCAGTCCAGTTTTAGGCTAGTTGTATACAAGGTAGCTGCGACTGGGTGTTAGTGTGTTCTCTCTCTATGATCTAATTACTAGTATTATATGTGGTATTGCGAGTTGGCCAGTGAGGGCCCGAGGCGGGTTCGTGACAGCATGGTGTTGGCTTCCAATGCAGCTGATACCAGCCTCGAGGATATGGCGCAGCTCGCCGACAGAATAATTGTCCACAGTGCAGCACTTTCATCTGTGTCTCCAGCTCAAGACGAGGTAAAAGCACTCCGGACCGAGATTGACAGACAGAAGGAGCTGGTAACTTCTCTCGTCTCTCGGCCTCGTTCATGTCAACCTTCGCCATCTCCCCGTCGATCTCAACCCCCAACCCCTCCGCCCCCATCACCCAATTTGGGGTTATGCTGGTACCACGCCCGTTATGGGGACAGAGCCAGAATGTGTACTCCACCATGTGCGCAGGCGGGAGACGCCCAGGCCGGTCGTTAGGGGCGACGAACGCCACCGGCCAAAACCTCAATCGCCTATTATACGTCACTGACTGTTCCAAGTTTCTCGTATACACTGGTGCTCAAGTCAGCATCATTCCGCCATCTCCAACCGATCGTCATGCTCTCCACACCAACATCACCCTGGAGGCGGTTAACGGGAATCCTATCAAAACCTTCGGAACTCACTCACTAACCCTCAACCTAGGGCTTCGTCGAACCTTCCGTTGGGTTTTCATCAGCCGAAGCCGCCACCCCTATTCTAGGAGCAGATTTCCTCCGGCATTACCAGTTGCTTGTGGACATGACCCGTTTCCATTTAGTGAATGCTACAACCAACTTCACGGTCAACGCAGGTGGATCCACCCAGCCCCACATTGCTACCCAGGAAACCTCCCACACCCTTCGAAGCCCTGCTCGCAAAGTTTCCGAGTATCACTCAACCCTGCAGCCCAGAGACCCCCAACACGATGTCACCCACCATATCACTACATCGTCAAGCAGTTGGTCTTCACCACTACGAAGAAGACGCCTGGCGATTGGAGACCCTGTGGTGACTATCGTGCTCTCGGCCACGCTACAGTGCCAGACCGCTATATACCCAATTCCGCATATACAAGACTTCTCTATTTCTCTCCACGTTTCACACATTTTCTCAAAAATCAATCTTATCCGCGTGTACCACCAGATTCCCGTCGAGCCTGCCGACATGCCGAAAACTGCAGTAACTACCCCATTGAATTCGTCTGCATGCCTTTCGGGCTACGCAACGCAGCTCAAACCTTTCAGAGGTTTATGGATCAGCCACTCGGTGGACTTCCCTTCTGTTACGTGTACATCGATGATCTTCTGATTGCCAGCCCCACACCAGACCAACACACGGAGCATCTCCGCCAAGTCTTCCAGCGGCTAAGCGATGACGGAATAGTCATCAATCCCGCCAAACGTGTCCTGGGAGTCTCTGAGCTGGATTTCTTACACCGTGTCAGCGCCAACGGTATCTGGCCACTGGAGGAGAAAGTCAAGTCAATCCGGGATTTCCCTTAACCCATGTCAGTTCGCAAGCTGAGAGAGTTTCTTCCTCATCAATTTTCACCACAGTTTCATCCCCAACTGTGCTGCCACTTAATAGGCTGTTGAGCATTACTGGACGGGAGGCACGTCACTTGCCATGGGATGAGCAGGCTCCACCTGTTTCACCGCAATCAAGGAAGCCCACGCTAACGCTACTCTCCTCGCTCACCCTAAACTGCACGCCCCAACCCGCATCATGACCGACGCCTCTGATTTCGCGGTCAGAGCTGTACTCCAGCAGGAGATTGGGGAGTCATGGCAGCCCGTTGCATTCTTCTCCAGGAAGCTGAGACCAGCGGAGTTGAGATACAGTGCTTTTGATCGAGAGTTGCTCGCGGTCTACTTTGCGGTTAAGCATTATAAACATTTTGTTGAAGGTCGTGAGTTTTATGTACTTACTGACCACAAGCCGCTTACGTTCGCTCTCTCCTCAACCACAGACAAATACACTCCCTGGCAGACACGCCACCTCGACTACATCTCCCAGTTTACCACAGATATCTGGCATGTGCGAGGCGGGGCAAACCAGGCGGCCGACGCACTCTCCAGGGCAGCTATCGATGCTATTACCCCATCACCATCCTCGGAGATAGATTTCGAAGACATGGCGGGAGCACAGGATACGGACCCCGAACTCCAAGCTCTCCAAGACTCACCGTCTTCTTCCCTGCAATTGGCAAAGGTTCCTCACCTCGCCGCCCCTGTCACGCTGGTCTGTGATATGAGTACCGGCTCTTCTTGCCCATTCGTACCTCAAGCATTCCGCTGGGCTGCATTCCACTCATTGCATTCACTGTCACCATCCGGGCATCGGAGAGCTCAACCCAACGACAGTGCCGCGATCGGTTTTGGTTGTGTTGGTCCTCGCATGAACGCTGACATTCGGTGAATGGACTCGTAGTTGTCAGCACGTTGTCAGAGGGCTAAGGTACAACGCCACACGGTCACACCACTTGGCACTTTCACAAACCTGGATGCTCGGTTCGATCAGATTCCCGTCAGACATAGTCAGACCACTTATCGCCTTCTTGTGGGTTTACCTACCTTCTAACTTGTGGGTGGATCGATTCACCCGCTGGCCAGATACGCCTACCTATGGCAGATATCCTCAACGGACCTCTGTCGCACGTACTTCGTGGAGCGGATGGGTCGCTTAGAGTGTGGCGTACCATCGACAATCACACTGACCGTGGACGTCTGTTTGAATCTCACCTATGGCGAGTGCTCACCGAGCTTTTGGGATGCCATCACCTCAGAACGACAGTGTATTGCCATCCAAGCCGCCAATGGCATGGTGGAACGATTCATCAACAAGCTCTAACGGGCATCTCTGCTTCAATAGCTATGACACACGTTTTTTGTTTTCAGTGGACTAGATATCACTCCCCATGACGCTGCTCGGTATTCGCACAGCTCTCAAGCATGATCTCCAATGCCAGTGTTGCAGAGTTGGTTTACGGTTCCTACTCTCCGCTTGCCTGGGCGAATTTTGTTCCCAACAGTCACTTCCAGTTGACAACCTCGCAGCTCTGGTTGGGCGTCTCAAGAAATTGCCATGCGCCCAGCTCCGTGCCTACCTATGTTCGTCACTCACAGCCACACACAAGGTCCACATTCATCGTGCCACACATGTATTTTGTAGAAGAGATTTAGTCCGCAAGTCCCCATTCAGCCCGCACATATGATGATGACGTCCCTTACCGCGTGTACTGTCTCGAGAACACAGTTACTTTCAGCTGACACTCAACGGACGTGCATGCCAGGAGCACACAGTGTCAGTTGATCACGTCCCTCAAACCGCACATTTGGACGCACTGCATCAGAAGAGACCACCCTCGCCTCCTTTTGCATCTCACTAGACCCTCCACCTCTCCATGCAGCACCACACCACGTTCTTCCACACCGCCTACGAGGACCACGCTCGGTTCTGGCCGTGTGTGAGAGTGGATGCAGTGACCACGGCATTAGAGAAACGTCGTTGACTTTGACCGACCACGTGGGACAATCGGCCATGACCAGCCACGTGGGACATAGACAATTGACTGGAGACGACTATATATTCGCAGTGTGGATATGTGTGTGTGCAGGTGGTGTGGTATTGAGATTCATGGACCATATCTTTACACGCCGCTCTCCGAAACACCACAACAGCAATGTCCTTCAGCCAAGCCCTTTGTGTAATCACGACACTGCAACCGTGAAAAGCACTAACGTGCGACACCCTCGGTGTATGGGCACTGTGAGAGTATCGTACTTGCCCGCTGCTGCCTCGTCCTAGTCTTGTGTGGGAATAGAGTACTGTGGAGACGCGTGAGAACGAGTACGCGAAGATATAAGCGACGTTCATCAAAAGTGGTCCTATCACCGAGGTGTGGCGCTCGGTTGCTTTCTCCTCCGTGAAAAACTGTTCCCTAAGAGGAGGGCTCAGGTACGAGCTGCATAACACGCGGCTCGAGTGCTCCGCTTGACTGGCAGTAATTTGGCATGAGGTATAGGAGCCGAATGTGGTTGTAAAAAACGCGCTCCATTACATGTCACGTAGCGCATGCATCATAGTAGGCGTGTAGTCCGCCCACCCTGCCACCCGTGTAGTTGGGGTTTTGTATCCGGGGGACCCAGCTGCTAACTTGACATTACTTTGCAGTTCACCGACTAGCGTGCACCACGACGATGATCATACGGTACAGGCATCACACCTTATCAGATGGGGGACACCAGAGACAGCGTTCCACGAAACATACGAGAGGTATGCTGTGTGTAGGGCTCCAGACATCTTTTAGTTTGGCTTGTTTGAGCAACCAGGAGACGATCTTGTCGGTGTGCTAGCCTTCGTCACATGGGCGACTCGGAGAAGGGAGTGAGACTAGCTGCAGAAGAAACACGCAGAAGGGGAGAGGGAGGAGTGAAACCGGTTGCCCTACAAGTCAGGGCACCCTGCAGCAGAGATATGGCCCAGATTCAAAAGCGTGGCCTTCACCGGGCATGGTGGACAGCCTCGATACAGCTTGGGTGTCTGTTTCTGAAATGATCACAGTGTGAAAAAGCTCCCCTCTGCGACTCCATGGTATGTCCTGTCTCCGCATGTGCGATACTCCTTCCCCTCTCCCACGTTCCAGGGCAAAATGCTCACAGTATAGCCGAGACCCTATCTGTGGCACGCCTATGGCTGCACCAACAGCTGCTGGATGCATGCATCTTTCAGAGAGACAGCTCCAACATCCTCAGCATATCCCAGCTCCATGGAGAGACAGGTGGCTGAGATAAATTACAGCAGCACCAGCACCAAGATGAGGTCTGCAAAGAACTGTTGGAGGTGTGGGCGTTCTCTCACCCAGTGTCCTGCTAAATTGCCACCTCAAGTTGACAAGGTTCGTCCGTTACTATTGTGTACTCAGGAGATGTCTGTCGTCGATGGGTTGCTGCTAAGAGGTGAACCACCGGGTGTCTAAGGACAGGACATCCTGGGAAAATCCATGCCGGCCACATGGGGATCGTTCAATGTAGAGAACGAGCCTGTCAGGGAGTATGTGGTAGCCTGGTCTATCGAAACAGCTAGTGAAGAAACTGTGAAGGAGTTAACGGAGAGACGAGGGTGAAGATTTAGGCCGAAGAAGGGGGGGGCGGGGAAGATGATGGCAGTAGAGGGCAATAAGGGAGTAAAGAGAGTCAATTTGGGACTTGTTCTTATTTATTGTTTCGATAGACCAGGCTACCATACTCCCTGACAGGCTCGTTCTCTACATTTGACGATCCCCATGTGGCCGGCATGGATTTTCCCAGGATGTC